TATAGGTATCTTGTTTTATAATTGAATTATTTTAAACTATAAAATAAAAATTATTTGATGATGAAGCTCTTAATATTAAAGCTTTTTTTATAAAATTGTTAATGTTTTATAATTAAAAATAATTTAACTTATAAAATATTTTTTAATTATTAAATTAAAAAATAAAAAATACTCATCTAATGACTATTATTTTATTATTTTATAATTCAATATGGTTTTAACTACAAAATATCAGACATATAAATTTATATCTACCAGTAACATATATGCTTGGCAATTAATTGTTTACTTTCTAAAAGATACTGGATTTATCAAAAATGTATTGTACTTTTTCTTTTCTCGGAATTTGGAGTTAAAGCTTAACTCCCACAAATCCCACAAAAGTTCGCTTCTTTCTTGTCTTTCCGCCATGTTTTTCCTTCTTTTCACCTATTGCTTTCTTCCCTTCATTTTCTCGTTGAGTTTCTTCTTCTTGTTGGCTTCTTTTTTTTTTTTTTTTTTTATCTCCGTTGCCGGCATAGGTGGGCTTAGCTTTCTCCTTTTTGTGTCAAATACCAAATAAAATAATTAAGTCCAAATCCAAGGAAATTTCAAGATTCATAAAGGAAGATAAGACGAGAAGAAGAATGCGACAAACTCACCTCACCCATTCATTGAAACTTTTTTTTTTCTTGAATATTGAATTGAGCTAAGGTAGTTAGCAAAGAACAGAGAATTGTATGAAGAAAGAAATTGGATGAGAGGGGGGGAATTTATAGGAGAGGACGGAGGGTCATGCCTTTATGGTATGTGATGTTAATAATGGTATATGACAGGGAAGTGTATCCGCTACTCTACATTCCACAAGTGTATCCATTACGATATTTATTCTTATTATTAATTAATTAAAATTAAATCTGTGATAACTGATGAAAAGGAAGAATTTGAATTGGTTTGGGCATGTATATATATAAAATGCTTATCTTATTTAATGTATAAGGTAGCATTATATATATAGATAAACAAATTTTCTTACTGTTTTTAAAAGTTAAACATATCTTTGATTATACATTCAATCAAAATTTTTGCCCAAATAATTATCCTCCAAAACTACATGAATTCAAGCATATTTCTTGTCTGAAATATTAAGTATTTTGATCAATCAGATTGACTGAATAAATTCTACATGCTAATTTGATTGGTTCAAATAATGGAACTCACAAGTTAGCATATTTCAGTTAATGATTTTTACTGAAATATATTATTCTGGTGCATATTAAAATTAGTTTTTTACTAGATTAATTAAAGGAAAATGAATTAAATGCAATTAACTTAACTTATTTTAATAATTAATGCAAATCTTTAACTTTAATTACCCATTTACTACTAATTTTATTTAACAATTTACTATTTTTTTTAAAATGCACTTTTT